AACTTTCATTTTATATCATTATTCTTGCTGACATCATTATAAGTGTAATAGTCCACTTAATTATCTCCCCTTTACTATGTGTTGTAAATAGAAAATTAGATGCCGTAATATATCACATACTGGAAATTCTACATTTACCTGTAAGTGTATGTAATAGTTCATTAATCGAGCTGTATGATTATTCCTTATGTACTCGGCGAACTTTCAAGTATTATTTTTGTAGGTCAGTTGTGAATTTCCTATTGATCGATTGGACCGACATGTTCTACCTCCTTTTTTGATTACAGCTTGATTCCACACAGTACTTTTTGGTAGAAGTATGGGGTTTTCGGCATGTGATATCGGTAGCCCAAAGTTTGCAGACTGACCATAGATATCAGGTATGCGCCGGCAGCGGATCGGACCCCAGACCATGTGCATGGTCGGCGAGAGCCCTAACCACTGTGCCACCGACTCACATGTTAGATACTTCCACGATGTCTGACGATAAATATGAAGTAGTTTTTGAATGATGACAAGCGGTGGAATTCATTATGCTCATTTTGTCCTATCTGGGACACGTCATCTCGACTTGCTTGCAATCTCTAATGTGTGATGGACTTTCCACTGAGACTCGAACCCAATACCATTCGTTCTAAATTTATTTAGTATTCCCAGTGTTTTTCTTTTCCGGAACAACAACAAAATTAAGATTTTCGACTTCGAAGACGTAACAACCTCACAATTCAAAAATCGAAATGCAACAAATTGCTTAATTTCATCCGGATTTATTACTGTTTTAATCGTCCAGTGAACATTAACTTGCGCGCTGACTTAATTGCATCGAAGTAAACGCTGTGCATTTCTTCAACGAAATAAAGATATACTTCAGATTATTACTTTACATATAAATCCTGAATGAAGAAAAGAGTATTTTGGAACTAAATGCTCTGAAACATTTGGTACCATATGTTCTCAGAAATAAAGCTTTATTATCATTAATACTACTTCCGAATTTTACCTGCCTCTACGTGCTAAATAAAATAAATCAAAACTAAACAGTCAGAAATCACTTTACTCTGAATGACTCTAAACACATTTGTTGACGTTTTTACACAAAAACTTTTTAACTTTGAACCCAGTAATTTAATCAGATGAGTTTACGCTTCAGATGAAGCCAGAGAAAAAAATCTGGAGTCATCCACTGTCCTGGAATTCCAGTGCAAATCTCCTACTTACTAGGATACTAGCAATTGATTTTTCTTTGTTTTAAAAATTCTTATAATGACCTTCCCTTCAGTATTTATTCTCTTACACTAAGGAATTTATTCACCAGTGATAATACCAGTAAAATGAGTAGTCCTTGAGAAACGCAACTCATTTTGTTTAATGTGCTACACATAAGACTTGTGGATTACAAGTTTAAAGCCTCTGAGAAATGTTTGACACTTACCGAATAAAAGCTTCAACGGAAAATAAAACTACCGCACGAATTCTCGAGACTTGGGCTTATTTAAATGTATATATAATCAGGAACTGATATCACTTGGCGAATTACTAAGAAACAGAATATGTGTTTTGTGACATTATGTAACATTTGCAAGTCATACACAGCTGATCAGACGAAATAAATGATGATGCCATCTTATTCTACACAAACTGAAGTTTTTGCCTTATTCAAACGTTTTTTCCTAGTTTGAAATCATTCGACAGTGTGTACTAGTTACCGTACTAAGGATAAGAGGCTTTCGCGTTACCATTCAGCAAATGGATTGAAGTCCAGTGGTCTGTGAATTCTAAATTCGGCCATTCTGTGAGACCAACACTTAGTGTTGTCATTGAGTATCCATATTTGATAGTCCCCACAGGTCACAACTTCTCTTTGAAACTCCAGGACGTCTATTGTGTTGACAGACACTAATGAGCAGTAGACCGATATTCAAGTGTTGAATTCCAAGGAGCATTTATGTCAGTCCATGAGGAAAACTATCTTAAGACCAATCAAATTCCCACAGCTCTTAAACCTGGAGATCTTGGCTTATATTTTAAGCTGTTTTCGTAAATGTTTACGATGTATGTGACGCAGAGATAACGAGAGAAAAAATCATCTTTCAAAACTATACTTTCCTAGTCACTTACTGTTGTAATCATTGTTTTTACGCCTTTTCGTTAAAAAAATCATAATTACAGAAGCCTGCTTATCAGTCACCGGAAACACTTATTTAGCAGAAAAACGTGGGCAGTGTATTTGAACAGAAAAAAAAAATTCATCTTCCTAATATAATCGAGAAGAATACTAAATTAGAGGAATAAGTGTTTTTTTCACGTAAATCTTCCACACTAATTGTAATCCTCTCTTTTACTGAATTTGAAGTGTGTTCACACTGGAAAAAATTAAACTAATTATTTAGTAATTAATTAACAATTAAGTGACCAGTCTCTTAAGTTTATATACTTTGCATTGTTGTTTGTTGTGTTGCTTCACATAAAAATGAGCTTCAGAAATCTACACGCATTTCTGAGATGTTCAAGAGGCTTTCCCCTCATCACCTCTTTCATTTTCGTCCTCATATTTCGAAGTATTTCTCAATCTATTGTATATTTTAACAGGCGTGCTCGTATGTATGTCTAGGACAATCAATACATGAGAATTTTTATTTCTCAGCGCATAAACCTATGCACAAACGCGTTAATTGCGACTAATCTTCTTTTTTCAGTCAACAGGGTTTTTTTTTTGTATATTAAATTAATTCATTATATTAGGCAATGTAATTAGTAATTGCAATTTAATAAAGTGTACATCGTCTAGGTTTTCTTTTCCTAATTATTTTATAATTGTAAGTTGGGACAGTGTGCACACACAGACACAAATTTTAGATAGAGATTTAGAGAAAAGAGAGAGAGAACAAATGGAAAAAAATTAAGTCAGTAGGTGACAATGAAAAAATGAGGAAAAGAAGCTTAGGACGATTAAGAAGAGGAAATTAAGGAAAGAAAAGACTGAGGGGATTTGCAAATTTAGAAAATATAATCAAATACCTGTGTCAAAGTTCATATCAACAATTATCAAAAAAAAATAATATAAAATGAAATAAACAGAAACTCAGTTGTTTCCATATATATTTACCTTAGAAATCAAGTGAAATAATAAAGAAGTTCTTAAGAGATTAAAATTTTCACGGGTTCGCACATTTTCAACTTCATTTCAATAAAAACTAGTTAATTTTTGGGTAACAGAACGTTTTGTCATAGGTAAATGACCTCAGTAGTCTTCGTTACTTTTAGATATGTAACAGAGACTGATGAACTTGCAGAAAGTGAGAAACCGCAGAGAACCATTAATCAACAGGTAGTCATTTTATCCAGCTCCATGAAATTCAAGCAGTAAATATCCTAGATGAATTATTTTATGGGCTTTAGATTCGTTAGTGGTAGTAACTGTATAGAATAAACTAGTTGTAGTTATTTGGCTTTATTTAACCAGAATGAAGGTGCTCAGAACATAAAAAAAGATACCAAATTGTTGCACATGTCTCAGTTATCTTAGATACGAAAACTTTTAAGCTATTATCTTTTGAACTGTTAATTTAAGGCCTATATAATTAATAAATGGGATGCATTTAGGTGGGTTATATTGTCAAATGCAATCCATAGTCTGTGGAATAGATGCAGCAGCTCAGTTCTATAACAAGAATCGGAATTTATAAAAATTTTAGAATAGTTAGAAATTCTTAATCTTAAGCACAAACTGTTCATCAGCAATTACTACACATTAATTTTAAATTACCTTAGTAGAAAAGCCTTTGCTTCAATAGCTGTTGGTATTCAGTGGTTTTTTTTTAAGGCTAATAATATTATTCTGTTAAGCATTACCAGAAATGGTTATCAGATTCAGTTAACAACAGGACATCTATTGACTTAAATGAATTAGATCTACCCAGTAACATTTATATTAGAGATTCAGATATTTCATTTATAACCGCTTCTTGTCAAAAGGTTTAAAATTTGTTGATTTTTGTCGCACTCTATGAAAGTCTTAGTACCATATACAATTGCTTAGATGGTAGCTGTATTATGTCCGTATTTTTTTATTACAGTAATGTCTGTCACAACACTGTAACCCCGGAATAATGCATCTAGACCAGATTAGCTTTACCATGTTCTTAAGATTATCGACCTAACGTTTAATCTGTCTCCGTTGATACTGAGAAGAAAAACTTTATTTACCACATCACGTGGTAGTTGATACTAGAAACATCCATTTGAAGGTAACACTTATATAAATCAGTCAATGTTTAATTATAAGCATAAAGACTGAAGGACCTACATTGTTTGAAGAAACTTTTGGAAGTACAGTTTGCTGATGGTGAGTTACCTTATTAACACTACCAAAACTTTTTACACTATACGGGCAGTTAATCTATTAAACAAAACCATATACTGAAAAGAAAAACTCTACAAAATGACATGATGAACATTGTTTAAGAGAATGACTAAATCAGTTTTTAGGTTTTATATGTTTGATGTCCGATCAGAATACTTTTGTAATTTAAAGTAAGGCCGTATTCCCTCTCCCCCCTCCAAACAGATTAAAATACAAAAAAACTATAAGCGGTTGAATTTTACTCCCATTTTTGTGTACATTTCTTTCGATATACATAGAAAGCATTTCGTGTTTTCCCAGAACTGTAACTGTTTTATAACTGCTCATTAATTGTAGTGCGTTAATCAGCGTTCCTTTACATTTACATAGATTTTATTCATACAATCTATATGCTTAGAAATTTAAAAATGATGATAAATTGACTAAAATCATGACTGAAATTGCAATTTTAATTCTTCTTTAGACATATTTTCATGAGTGAGGCTGAATTACAACTACTTATATAACTTTTAAGGGTGCACCTAGTATCGGATAGTAAGGTATTTACGTCAATGAGATGAAATGAAGACTTTTAGCTCATCAAAACTCAGATTTTAAGGTTTGTCATCTTGTTATTATTCAGGTTGTTATAACTTACCAAACTTGTGATACTGATTATTGACAGCATTAAACTTAGAATACTGAATTGGTAATACTTCAGATGTTTCCATTTTATTTTGAAACCTTTCTTGATCACTGTTATCACTGGCAATGTTCGGTAAATGTTTTGTGCTGTTCATATCACTGTCAACTCCAGTACGACACATCGGATTACTTAACTCGAACGTTTCGGTTGTGAAACCATTTGTTGATGTATTATACTTCATAAAGTTTTTATTCATTGAATCATCGATAAGTGGTGTTAGTATTTTCGTTATTACTGTGGGCAACTCTTCAATTTCCCCTTCCATATCACCCAACTGCCAGTAAACATCGGAAATTTCTTCAAACTGGTAAACGCTTTCACTAGATGCATTGTGTTGTTGGTGATGTTGTAGCGTGTTATGTTCCCCAGACATCTGCTGCAATAAGAAGTAGAAATTGTTTTAATTAATGAAAACTATCATTTAAAATAACTTAGGCTAGAAAACACCTTTTTACATCAACTGGATAAAGGGAAACCACTTATTTTTCAGGGTCCACATGTTAAAGTCAGTTAATAAGGTTTTGTCGAACAGCTTTTCTATTGCTAGACCTTAGGATTTCGACCTACTGTTTTTACTTTTCAAGTGAAATTTATGGCAGATTATACTGGTGGACTCTGAAATATATTAGTATTAAGACAACTGTTCTTTCATCCGAAATTTTTCAAGTGAATCTGAGTAAAACGGCCAAATGTATATTTCACAAACGAAAAACATCCTGTTGGTGATTTGGTTGACTGTAACAGCAACAATTGAAATTCAGACCCATGTGACCAAGGTATTCTGGTCAGTGTTAAAGATCTGTTCTTCCGTTGAAGTTTGTTGTGTTCTGCCAATTACTGTCGGTCATTTTCTGTTAAAATTAGGGACAGCTAGTTTCCAATGATTCAATCAAAGCTTGAGGACTAATAAGTCGGTATTTACAACAGAAAATTGAAACAGATTCCCCGTATTTCGACATCAACAGTTCATGTGAGTCTTTCAGATATGTTGGCGAGGATCAGAAAATATCTATTCAACTTACTCTGTCGCTGTTTTGACAAAAGACAAGATTTAAGAAGACATCACAAGGTAGCAGGATGATGTTTCGGCAGGTAATTCTGTGACATCAGTATCTTTTTACGTTTGCATATACTTAATTAATTTTAAGTTTATGAATATGAAAATTCTTGTGCAAATGACTTAAAAAACAGACTACAGGATGCCTTCGGTGAACGGAATTTGATGTTTGTAATTATTCATGCGGAATGTGAAATTAGGAAAATTCAAGGGTTACCTCTATTGGGTCAATATGTCAAGTAAACTAAAGCTGAAGTGTCTGGATGATGTGATAAAACTCTTACTACTGTATATATTTTAATTAAGACGATAAAAATCCTAATATGTCTGTCGATATCATACAGGTTTGTGGACAAGAAACTGTAAGTTGTATCTAAGCGTATAACATAAGCAATCAGTCATCTTATTTTGTCCTCTAATACATAAGAATAATTGCATCAATTTTAACTATTTCCTGAATAAGACTTAATTCGCTGTTATGTTAATTAGTCTGTGAATGTAGGGGATGTTTAATACATTTTTGCTCACTTATATACAAAGTGGTCTCGGCAATATATTGTCTACGTATCATATTCATTAATTGGCTATATTCAAATGTGTTCACATTTAAAGTTATTACTCGAGTTACAGTGCAGAGATCCACAGAAGTGTGTAAACCGATACGAGTAAAACCAAACAAACAACCGAGATACAATCAATGTCCACTGTTCAAGAAATATGACTTCTAATTACAGTATCTAATCTCCGCCTTTTTCGGATGTGCCAACGAAGTTCCACAGAAGTATGAGCATTAAAATTCAATTAAATATCGATTTTATTTGGTTATCTACTGCAACATTAGTGGAGTATATTAGTATCAGTTGTGTGTGGTTAAAAAAAAGAATATATATGTCTTAGACTGCTAGGAGTGTGTCAACTACTATGAGTAACTTGTATTTTTTCTGCGGGGAGCAGTTAGTCTTGTATTCAGATATGATAGAGAAGATTTGTAGCTCAGGTGGATGATTTTGAGGTGGTAATTGAAGTATGCGCTGAAGATGTCGCCTAGTAGGGCAACAAAAGCTTCGCAAACTAACTATCCAGCTCAGAGAACACAACCACCTCAAAGTCTTGTATTCGGAAACAGTAAAAAATGTGACCACTACTTAGTCAGTAATAATTTAATTGTAACCTTAATACTGTGATTAGAATTTTTCGGTTAGTTAACTATGGGGTATGAAAATGAATTAAATAGTGTTCAGTTTAGCTTAGTTGAAAACCATCAGTAGGGCATGCATCTTCTTCATTTATATTCTTGTGGTTAAGGCACATACCTCTCGGTACAGATTTTGTAGTCTTTATTCTTCAATCAAGTAAGAAAGGATTATTCCTGAATAATTAGCTCATCTGAATGAGTGTATACAGTGTCTTATCCTACTGATAAATACCAATTCTAAATTGTATGAAGCTGAAGTTGAGTAACACAATGAAATTTATATAATACCTCAATAAATAATTGCCTACCAATGCCATTGAAATAACTATGAATGTACAATCTATTCCTTTCAATTGCAACCTTTGTAAAAGAAATCCTCAGACAACTGACATTTTATCACGTCATTGAATTGCACCGGGATTTTTCATTCTCTCTTGTCTGATATTTTTATTCAATAAAAATATGTGTGAAATTATTTTTAATTGTAAATCATTAATTATGTAAAGAACTACTGAAAATAGAGGATTGCAAAATGCTCATTTTACTCCAGTTTTGGACTCTACAACAGTGTTCATTAGTTCTCGTGTGGGTTGCACAGTCACATGGTTAGTTTTCTGAAGACCCATGTCTTCTAATTTCCGCTAAATAATAGTGTGTTACAACCGTCATTTGATAACACCAGTGAATAGACGGAATTTCGTAAAATCTACTAAAGATATCCTCAGAAAAGGCGGTATGAATTTAATAGGGAACAGGTAACAAAAGTGTTGGATTTCAAAGATTTAATTTAATTATTTTGTATATAAATAATTCGACATGATGAATGTATTTGTGTTTAAAGGCCTAGTAGTGTAATTAGACGCTTGACAACTAACTGATTAATGCCATAAAACTTGACAAGCAATTTACCAACACATTTTTGAAGAAAGTGACTAGTTCACTAGTTTGTTACTTCAAGTATTTTCTGAAATGAATTACTGAAATACAAAACCATAAGTACTTTTTGGAAGTCTACATAATTAAGATACTCACCTGCTGAAAGACTGTTTTTCTATGTTCACCAGTATGCCAATGTCTTAAAGCACTTGTCAACGTTTTAAATCGATTCACATATTTTTGAGATTTGTCAGACAAGAGGAAATTGATATTTGCACTACTGGAAGAAGATGATGATGGTGATGATGACGAAAAATTGGGTAGTGGTAATGTCAGTGGCACATGCTTTTTGTGAAACACATACACCACTTGTAGGTTTGTAAGTATTGATGACAACTGTAGTAAAACTTTACTGAACTTTGCCTGATAATTTAATTTATTAACATCTTGAGAAATGGGTGAAGAAGAATCGCAGTTTGTCTGTATATTTTCACTATTGTCTGTGTTATCATTATTATCATCATCATTTGTCAGAGATTTCAATAGATCAACGTAAAATAAACTCAGAGAAGCCAACGTATTCCAGAGATAATTACGTCTATTCACTAAATGTGTAAATGTCTTGACAGCTCCCGCATGATTTACTGTTTGACAATGTAAACGAAATTTATGTACAGAAGTTGTGTACAAATCACAAGCAATGCAGTAAAGTTGTATTGATGAGGTTAAATTGAAATTATTCTTGACATTATTATTACTATTAGTGGTACTACCATCACCAGTAATGTTACTATGAGTAGCGAGGCTATTCATTGTGTTAGATAAAGATAAGTTACAATTTAATCGGTTGGAAAATGAAAACTGAATATTATTATTACTACCATTAAGTAACTGGCTTCCTTGTATGTTTAATGTAGACAGTATGCGTGATTGATTCCACAGGCCACCTTCACAAACGTGTACTAAGAAGCTCAGTCTTTGTGCATGTTTTTCTGTTTTACAGTGTAACTGAAAATTTGCTTTCAATGGACTTTTATAAGAACACAATTTACAAAACCAGAAACCATTTGTATGCACAGTTATTAAATTGGTAACATAGTCTAAATCAAATGGCATACGATTTCGTTCGGCGTGTTCAATCAGTGTATCTAAATTATTAGTTGTAAATGTGCAACAAACTTGACAAGCTAATGGATGACCAGATGTTTCAGTTAGATTATATGTTGGATTACCATAAGACAATGTTGATGGTGTAAATGTGTTCAAAGAAAGGTTATGCTGAAGGGAAAATGAGTTCAGGAGTGCAGCGGAAGTGGTAAAAGAAGAAGAAGAAGAGGTACAGTTAAACTGATTATTAATATCCTTATTCTTAGACAAATTCATCTCATAGAGATTTCCAACAGTAGTGTTCATCTTCGTATTCTCTTCAGTTTCATTATTCCCACTTCTATTCTGCAGGGATACTATACTTTTGTGCTCTAATTTTGTGTTTTGCTGCAACGCCTTTACACTTCGTATATCATTTAATGAATGTGATGTTAGTATATTCAGGTCACTTACAGGGCTTGGTTTTTTACTTGTTGAGTTTAAATATTGACGACTTTGATGAAGAATATTCTGTTGCTTCTGCTGCTGTTGGTGACATTCATAGTCAGTACTTCCGTTGTGGTTACTTCTGTTGTCAACAGAATTAAATATTGTCTGTGACAATGTCTGTTCATGTTCCTATAAGAAATAGGAGTTATAATTTGAGAAAGTCAACGAAACTATAAATTTTTTTATTTACAGCTTGATTCCACACTGTGTTTTTGGTACAAGTATGGGATTTTCAGCATGGATATCGGTAGCCCAAATTTTGCAGCCCGATCATAGATATCGGGTGTGCGTCGGCGGGGGTTCGAACTTCGGACCATGTGCATGGTCGGCCAGCGTCCTAACCACTGTGCCGAAACACTAATTTTACGTTGGAGGATTTCATCTTAAGGACCTTCTGTTTACAAGGTCCTGGGTTCGAACCCCAGTGGGTGCGTACTGATAAAGAGTCCCAAAATAGCATGAAACAGATGTCCAGTACTCCCGGGTTTTCCAATTCTTCTCTGACTGAAGTCAGCTCATGAAATCCTCCAACCAATCAAAACAAAATCCCTACAAAATCAATACTTGAAAACCTGCATATCAAATTTTATTGTCTAAGATAAGATTAATGATTGTTGAGGTGGCATCTGAGGCTACAGGGGCCAATTAACCTCGGTTTTCATTAGTTGCTTAAGTGGTCACATAAGTACATATGTAAGATTAATTAAGATATTTTGAAGAATTAATCATTTCACTCGAAAATATGCCCGTTTAATTTTGACTCACTAGCTTTAAGATTCTAGTCACAAAACAGTTTGTTTAAGGCATGTGTAACCCCACTACATTTTACTTATATACAGCCACACTGTATACATTTCACAGGTTTGAAGGCTGAATAAGTGTGTGGTTACCAAAACAAATCAAACTATATTTCCCATACAAGATAGTAGTCATTTTCAGCATTTTATTATAATGTCGTCTTAATGAATTTAACCTCGAAAAAATTTCATCTTTTGAATTTACAATTCTTGCCTTAAAAATGAAGAGAAATTCTATGCTAATGTCGTTGTATGTGTAATCTAATTGCGAATCTATGTTGACTTAAAAATTGTGTAAGTCTACAATATTTTAGTATTTAGAAGGTGTGGAAATAAAAATCTCTTCGTTTTCCAAACTGTGCCAGTCTACAAAATGGAATCTTTCTTAGATATTTGGAAAGTACTGCCAATATCGATTCCTTGCCGCTAATATATTAGAATGAAAATTACTGAACCAACACTCAGCTGTTCTCGTTTCTAAACGTGCTTGGTTTGTAGAAAAAAATGAAAATTTCATTGAAGCATATCTGAAATCCTTTCTGAAAAAATGTTCATTGGAGACATCATTTCTTTAAAGATGTCGACAAAAGTGTTCCGTGTAGACAGTTTTAAGCACTTTTCAAGGAGATCCAGGTAGTACTGTTTGATTTCCAGCAGTTACATGACAACGTGAAATAATGAGAGTAAATTGAAACCGTCACAGAATTCAGGAATGCGTCTTTACATTAGATATTTGGAGGCTAATAGTTTTATGGAAATCGTTGCAGCCCTTCTGATTAACATTTCATTAAGGAACAAAGGACCTATAGTTGTATCATTCAAGACACCCTATTTACTGTTAAAGGAATATGATGAGAAAATGATAACATTCTAACTCATCGTTTGATAAAATTTCAGGAAAACTTTGCTTCAACAAATCAATACTTATGAGTACTCATCACTGGGATATACATTCATTAAGAACGCTAAGTCAGTTATTTTAGATCATTCCGGTCAGTCAATATTGAGTCTAATATACTTTACTTTGCACTGTTGTTTAAATTGTAATAAAAGCAGATCAAGTTCAAACTTCGAATTCAAGGTAGTGATTATCGTATTGGTCGAGTAAATGATTTAGTCCATTGTTGACTACTTAGTAAATAAAAGTACTGGTGGTGTTATTTGGCTGATGGTGACTACCATTGGAATCCAGTATGAGCATTTTATCTCATTTAAGACTTTTCGAATAGATATGTCTGCATCCTCAGTGACATAAGTCACTGGATTCACTGACCTACTGGTGTAAAAGCAGTAATGAGCGAACATTCAATTTTGATTCATTGAAAGCTCCTAGAAACTGAGTAAAGTAGGCGAAAAAGATGATGAGCTGAATGTTAGGTTACTAAAACTTGCATTCTTTCTTGTAGATCACACTTCTTATAATCTGAGAAACTATGAGCTGCATTTAACTTCACTCTTCGTATTTCGTTCTGAGGATGATTTGAGTTGAATTTCTTCAAACTCGAAGCTGTAAACATCTAAATGTCCCTGTCTGTTCTTACATCTCCCATCTTATTAAGAGTAACATTTAGTAGCGAAAATTAATTCAGTTTTTCCGAAAATCTGACCCAAGACAAAATATAAATAATGGATTGGAATCTATAATTCAGTAATACAAATATATATATATGTGGTGTTTTTTGAATGGACGACTTACCTGAAGATTGTTCAGGTGTTTATCTGACTGTTGATGTATAGCTAAATTTCCTTTAGTTGTTGTAGAATAGTTGCATATTTCACACCGATAAGGTTTATAACCGCAAATATAGGTTTCACCACGACCTAATCTTGGGTGAATAGTTTTTGTTATACAGTAAAGACATGAGCCAGCTGATGAGGTATTAGTATCACTGCTTTGCGACTGCTGATGTTGTTTTGGCATGGTTGTATATTTTACTCGATTTGAAGAATATAATGCGGCTTTCTTGGTAAATGCCAAGGAGGGAAATGTTTTATTCATAGATTGTGTGTTAAAATATTGGCTTCAGGAGTTTTGAATTATTCTAAACATTATTATACTGACATCTGGTTGCTTGGATTCGACGACAGGCATTAAAGAAAAAGACAATTCCGTTTTCTGTTGGTTTATCCGTTGATTTTTAAAATGATGTTTGACAACTGTGCTAAATGTGGTTGTCTGTAAAACAAAGAATAACAAGATTATTTTCTCTACTTACAAATATCCAGCCCTTGATTAAGTTAAAATAGTTAACAAAGACAAATTCCGATTTATTTAACTAACATCAGTGCTTGATAATAGCTCGGTTGTCAATCGATGGGGTCACTTTCAGTTGTTTTTGTTAATGTTGTTTAAAAAACTGTGAACATTCTCACGAGTAGTGCAACAAATGCTAAACAGCCGCTATCACTATTTTGTTATACTCTTTTTAAAAATAGACTGTTATAAACATGTGCTGTTGTGTTGGTCATTAGATGGTAGTGAGTAAGACCATTTATAGTTTTACCTGCAGTGTCCTGCTGTAGTTTTTAATATAAATAACTTAGCTAGATTTGTTTTAAGTTACGATATTCTCGAAGCCAAATTAGTTTCATCGACGGTTTTAATCTGGGATAGAATTTGATCTCTGGCAGGACTGTTCACAAGGAACATTACTAATGAATTTCAAGAACCAAAGCATATTAGATTAGTTCTTTTAGAAAACTGATTCAGTCGAATATCTTCACTACAGATCTGTATGGGACAGAAAAATACCAAAACTCTGAGTACATTGAACATTCTATGATTAAATTGCTTTGAAATCGATGAACTGTTTGTAAATTAGTTAACTACAAGCTCCATATTTTGTTATATAATAAAATAGCTCGAGATGAATATCCTGTTTAAACCTTGCCGCCATTTATCTCTATGAGTTTTCTTTTTACCTTTCCTCTTTAAAAACTACTACTGATCACCCCAGTTTTAGTTTAAATGATGCGAAATATAGAACCAGGAAGATAGTGCCCGTTGTATTCCTTTACATAAATGACAATAATAAGTTGACTCACATTTTGGCTTACAGCAGATAAGTGAAATTTTTTTCAAAGTAAAATTTAACCATGAAAATAAAACGACATACAGACAATCAGTTCTAGCCACTTGTATGTTCAGAAGACAAAGGATGTACTTCAGAATAAATTAAATTAAAATCATCACTCTTTCTTTTTATCTATGGCTGTCCTTCTACAGTGGGTTTTTTTTTCTATCGACATAAGATAATTTTTTCATAATTAAGTATCTTTTCTACCCTGTTATGATCAGTTGATTAGAGGATAAGATGGTTTTTCTATTTTTAAAAAGTAGTCTGAAAAAAGGTAGTACAAGTGTTCTTCTTGTTCACTTATGTGATTTTTTATTAATAAGTATAGCGCCAGTCAACTGAAACTAAACTGTGCATACATTTCTTTGATTTACTTGTCCAGGTGGTTGGTTCATTGACTTTAAACAGGGCACAGAGATGTCATCAGTGGTTGTAACTCTGACTATTGAAGATATAAGCCTTTCGCTTGTGACAGTAGTGAGAAATAAATTAATTTTTTCTCTCAAGATGATTTTCATGATATTGCGTCATTTAATTAAAATTATCATAATCGTATAGCCACCTTAAAATACTACTTCGACCGACTATTTTTGAATATGAAGACAATTCTAATTATTTGTTAGAAATAAAGTCTTGATGAAACCACTAACGAAAAGTTTGTTAAACCACTCGTGTTCACTTGGCTTCAGTTTGTTTTCTTCGCCGATTTCGATAACGATAATTATTATTACTAGTAAGAATTAGGTATTTCTAGGGAATCAGGATTTTTAAGCACTGATTAGACAACAATTGAAATGCTATAGTTATGATCCTTGTGAATGCAGGACTTAAATTTTGAAACTATAATACAAAATAATTCCATATTAGATAAATTTACTTGATATCGTGGTATGGCGTTAAGCCATAGATTTGCTTGCATCACGTCTAGAAGCTGAGTAGTTCAAAAATAAAACGAAAGTTCCATCATTGTTTGCATAGAGCCCCGATTGTTAGGTTGGCATCGAATTTTAATCAGACGTGTTCAGACTAAGGGTATTTAAATTTTTTATTGCTCAGGAAATAGTGGCATATACTGCCTGCCATGTTATTGCTGATACTGTTTTTAAAGCCTGAACTGTCCTTAAAGCAAGGACTATTCGTTTGGTGTTAGAAAAACTCTAACCTTAATATGGTAGCCATAATTATAATGATCCATAGAGGTATGTCGGATAAAATGTTAATTGGGCACTGTTGTACAGTATAATTTCATTATGGAAAAAGTTATGCAGTAAGATTTACTGATGACATTTTGAGCAAAATTTGTTGCTCATAATCATATGAGCACTGACAGTGAAATGATGAGAATTTCTGTGATTTTATCCGCCCTTTAATTATCATATAAGACTTATAATTTAAAACACAAACTTTTCTCAGATACAAGCTGATTTTACATTTCAGTGGAACTTAGCTATAAAATGTTTTTGTCTTTCAGTAATTTATGTCTCAGCAGAGTTGCGTTGCATTTTAAATGACTGTTTATAACCTTCAGTGTTTTTCACTAGGTTACTGACTTCACTTAAAACTGAAGCGTGTATTTAGTAAAAGTTAAAAACGTTTTTGTGGAATTCATTTTTCCGCAGTAATGTTGGAAATGTATAATAAGGTAATTTTCAAAGCGAATTCACATTATGGGAATAATTTGTGTTCTATACTAAAAAGATGACGTGCAGTAAGATTTTGAAATAGACGGACAAGAACTTTCCACAGACTAAGTTATTCATTGAATTATTTTTCTTGGTCATTTGATATACCGTGTAAAATGATGTATACATTTATAGATGTTGTTAAGGTTTGATAATAAGGCTTACGCACAGTTAGCCTAATTCAAAGTTTTGAAGTCTCATAGTACGTATACAAATTCTGTAATGTTTACTGTTATTCTGCAAGAAAATGTATTATATATGCACAGTAGTAACATATCGCCTTAATTAGAGCCAAATACAACCAGTAGCGTTTCATAAAAGGTTATTTTAGTGCGTTTTGACGAAATTATCTTTTCAAATCTAAGCAAAGCTTTTGACAGAATTCACCTGAGATATCTCTATGTTTCAGTCAGCAAGTTAATAGTCATGAATTAATCACTCGACATACCTAAGGACAACCAATAAGCATGAAGTGTGTCTTCAGGGAGGAGGATTAATCTAATTGGTGGATGGTGACTAGCAGCGGAATCCAGGATGCGCATTTCGTCCTATTTGGGACTCGTCACTGGATGTGCCTGCATTCCCCAGTAAGTGATGATGTTCCCACTGAGGATTAGTTTGTTTATAAGTCGTTGAAGATGACAATAGCACCACATCAGACTGTTTTATTCCCAAGATATTTCCTCCATAAAAAATGTTGCCAACTACAGAACACTTTTCTTCTAATGGAGTATAATGATGATGATAAGAATGTCGTTTTTCTTCCTACATCAATTAATGCTACATGTGGTTGTAGTATATATTCAAAGATCGTTTAGATGTATGTCTCCAACTACAGTCGACATTGTGAGCTCCATTATCTTCATAAATATGTTATTTTTCAGGAACCTGTCCACACAGTGAGCTAAAGTGTCATTTTTCCGGGGATAAGGTGCATGAGTTAGCATTAAAACTGGTTCATCTATCCAAATGACAAACAAATGAGATGTGAGCATAATTCAAGTGTTGATTAACAGAATCACAAAATAGTTGATAGAATATGTTTCCTTTGATAATTAGCTACATAAAAATCACTTTGATAAATTAATGTCGCTTTCTGAGATGTGTGCTAGCAGGATAAATACTAAAGGCGAAACAAAAACACTAAATCACTCTCTAGTATTATCATTGAGTTGACCAAAGAAGTGGAGTAACAATGACACTTAAATCACAGCCATATTCGACAACAATTCAACCGAAAGTTGTAAGTATTCAAAATATTTTCAATAGAAATTTATATAGTCTTATCTCTTGATTAGTAAGCAAGGGCAGAATAACTGGGAAGGTTCAAAGGACTTATTACCTTACTGTTGGTATTTCAAAGGAAATTAATAAATTTGACAAATATTACAATTAAGAAACATGTTGCATAGCTTAAATGACTAATTCCCTACCAGTGGATTGATTTCCCTACTGTATTAAATTCATATTTTTCTACTTTAAAAGGTATACAAGACAAAAACTTCAAAGTTTTTCATTTCAGTTTCTAAATACTTCTGTTAACTGGATTCACCCTAAAATGTAACTGACACGTATGTTGTTGTTCAGATATTGTTCATTGAACACCAAACAATTAGATTTTGATTATGTATTTATATTCTACGTTACCTATAATAGAAATGGCCTCGAAATAAACAGGTTAAGGCGAAGTAAAGCTTTACAAGACGATTCTCCATCTCAAACATTAAAAAAAAATTTTTGGTAAATATAATAGACTAAATTACTTGAACTTATGAACTGTGATTGTTATTTTTCATAGCATGTGCTGACCTAACAAGACTGAGTGATCTTGAATATGGGGCTACCGATTTTTGAAAATCAAAGTATGTTAGTTTATGGAATGAGTTGACTAAGGAGTTTGTTATTCAAAGCGTGACTACACGGTAAACTTGTAAAATAGTCCTTTGAGTTCTCTTCTGTATACTGTATTTTACAAAGAAAAGTTTCCTTTCACTGTTGACAATATAAAGTTATTTAATGTGCTTACTCACAAAATATGATAAATTAAGATACTTCTGGTTATTTATCCAATAGTTTCACCCTAATTGTGTCAATACATAAAAAAACTGATAGTTGCGAAAGGTCTAAATGTACTTAGTTATAGTCTGTTAGTCACTTGACTGGTTCCTAGGATCTTCGAAAGAGAAAATTTTTTATCTATGAATGAACCTTTTATATTCCGTAGATGGTTGACGGTTGTTTACTTTCAACCTAGTTGTGCTAAAGCATAAAATGAACTTATGGAAGGATCTAGCGTTACTGAGATTTACCCATCAGCTGTTTATTTTTCTTAAGTGTTCAAAAAAGTCTTGTTTTAGCGAATTACTTGTTATACCGTAGGATCATATTCACAAAAGTCTAAGGAATTAAGGTAGTAT